GAACAGGACAGCAGTAAACAGCGAACATTTGAGAGAGCTGAGTTCACCACGTCGTGCCCGTAATAGTTGTTTCGCATCAACCAAGCGCGATATTTTCTTCTCCCGACACCACAACAGGAGCGCTCCCGAGACCAAGACGACCGTAAAGACGAACACCGCAACGCCCAGCGTCGTCCATACCAACCCTACCTCTACAGCACCAGAGGCAGAGCAGCAGTAAACAACAACGATAGAGGCGGTGACAGGCATGCAAGCGCAAGGAGTGAATCCGTCTCTCCCCCCGTACTCCTTGCAACGTATCAACAACATCAGAGGCAATGACAGGCATCTAAGCCCAAGCACTGACTTGACCTCTCAAACCCGCACTTCTCGTAAGGTATAACATCGATTAGAGGCAACGACAAGCATCTAAGCGCATGGACTGACTTCTCGCCGGCGCACCTGGTCGTCGGAAATGTCGGAGCGCGGCCATCGTGGCCAGCGTGCAGGCGTCAATCAAGTTCCCCCCGTGGTCAAGGATGTGCACGTCGCACCGCAGCTGCCAAACCTTTTCATGGAGAGGGGGAGGGGGGGGGGGGGGGGGCGTCAAGGGGGGCGTGCACACACATGGCCAGAAAGGAACTTTCACGAGGGTTTCCACAACATGATATGTTGCACCCGACACCGTTTACTGACAGAATTTTTCCAAAACCGTTACCAATGCCCGCGTACATCGAGTTAAGAAAAATATATAGCGGTTATCCAGCCATTCTCGTGTAAACAAAATAAATAGACTACTATGGTAGGGTCGCTGAATATTTAGCATCTCGCCGTCGATGATGAAGGAAAGCGCTTCCGTATCAATATCTCGCGAAAATAAAAAAGAGGGGTAAAACTAGCTGAAGAGAGCGAAGATAGAGTGGATGCCTTCCTTCTCGCCGCCGATGATACAAAGCGCTTCCGTATCAATATCATGCGATATCACTAAACTAGAAACTAGTTCAAGACAGAGGGGATGCCTACCTTCTCGCCGCCAATGATGCAAAGCGCTTCTGTGTCAAGGGCCTGTGAGTCCCTCACTCCGATCTCGATCACCCGCGCGATCTCCACCGACAACGGCGAATTGCGTTGCTGAAGCGGGGGGAAAGAACAGCAACCCACACACGACGAGAAAAAGCACAAGTTGCAGATAATAGCACTGACTTTTGGGTAGCTGGCCTGTGACCACGGTAATCGTTCGCATCAGTTGAACTGGTACGGATTTTAGAAAGTACTGAAGCAGATATTGAAACAGCTTCTTAATGTGAAGACGACGACGACAACAACAACAACAACAACAACAAGGACAAAGCCGACTACTGCAGTTGTGTTTGGTTCGAAAAAGTTAAGAATGTACCGTGGGGGGGAGGGGGTCATGTATCGGCATGGGACGACGGCAAACACAACAGACGCCGCCGCTTTAACAAAAGCAAACGCTTAGGGAAAGTGGGGGAGACGAAAAAAATTCCACCGGCCAAGAGCAAGGTATGCCTATGGTACTCGGCGGACAAGCAGAAAACACACCGAAAACAGTCGAAAGTCAAACAGCAGAAAAGTAAGAGCACCTCGACACTGCTGCTGCTGCTGCTACTGCTGGGTGTCAAGGGGTATTCCACAAACGATGCTAAGACAAGGGAGCAGCGGAGTGAGTTCTGGCAACAGCACTTGCGCTCCCAAAAGAGACAAAAAACGCACCTCCCCCACGCTGGCGGCAGCCATCGGCCCTAGCTCGACATTGAAGTGCAGGAACCCTTCCGTTGGCCTATCCGGAAAAGGTGGGACCACCTGGTGTTCCCGGCAAAACATATCAGCCCATCGGCGGGACGCAGAGTCAAGGGGGCACGCGGATTTTAAAAGTTGATGCACTGCTACCCTCCCCCCACACTCGATTTTTCGGGCGCCCAATCCAGTTTGGTCAAGGCGTTTGTTGTAATGGGAGTATGCACAGTAGTCTTGTATTCCATGTTGTATAGGCTTTAGAATCACAGCAGCATAAAACCCATACACAGGAAGAGGCGCATAGAGGACAATGTGTGCCTATACTAAATCCTATACAAAGCGGCAACGAGGGGTACACCTGTTGCTTAACACGATTTCGTCTCGGGGGAACAAAATCGTCGTCTACCTACCCACCCAGATGTGTGAACAAGAAGGCATGCACCGCAGAAAATCAGGTTCAATGTAGGCGTTTGTTGTCGCGAACCTGGAGCTGTAAAAAGTGTCATGTTTTCTTGAGGTGAAAGCTCGAGTCAGGCCGGACAAGTCATTTCCAAATCGATCAAGTGTTAATAAGAATGGACATATCGGCTGGCAGGTGTTGACGGAGAGCAACAGCGTGCCTGGGAAATCTTCTATGTAACCTCGCACAGGAGCTCTCTCTCTCTCTCTCTCTCTCTCTCTAGTTGAGACGAACCGCGAGCGGTTGTGGAAAGGAAATGGGATGGGACGACGAAAACAAAACTATCTTCTGGTGAGACACATTGTCGGGATCGTGTTGTCGGTAGATACCGCGAAGAATGAGGTAGATACCGCGAGAGCGCGGGAGGGCGAGCGCACAGGTGTATGGTCGAATTTTATATACCGATATACCGATTGCTGTAGAACCATGAGGATACGAAGCCCGACTGACGCGTGCAAGGAAAAGCTAGCTCTCGACGAGATATTTCCAAGCTAAACCTTGTCGGATTTGCCAGCTTCATGGTTGAGGAGCAATCGAGCGCAAAAAATCGGCATCGGACAGCGTGTGCGTTCGCCCGCACTTTTACGGTATCTCGCGCCACTTGTGCGTGCCATGTGCCTTAAGGCATCTCGCGGGCAGACAGGGAACCAAGTATCAAGCAGCCCAAGAAGGCCGAAAACCATCAAACCACCGGCCCTTGGCAAGGGGCGGGGCAGAGAGAGCGAGAACGGCGAACTAAAGGATACACGCACAGGTTCCAAGGTAGCCACACCATCCAGGACCGGACTTCCTCTCTGAGGTTGTGAGGAACCCCAAAACGCCTATAAACGGGTTTCACAGCACCCTCTCAACTTCAGCATGAAATTGCCATCATCATGGTGTTCCTGCTTCAGCTACTGCGTCGTGGCTGCACCTCTCTCTCCGTTCCTACAACCCTGCTTCGCACAGCCCGCCATTCTTGCTTAACGGGGATGCAGAGAGCAGTGAGGAGGGTGTCTCAAAAGTGCTGGCAGAACCTGGCCGCGCCGCTGCCCGGTAGCGTAGTCAACAGGAAGGAGTAACTCAAACTCTGTTGCTACTGCTGTTTCTACCAGTTACATTGCTTAACTTCCGCAACACACTGCGTGTGTGTTGTGGCGACTCTCTGGAAGCTGCGAACGACACCCAGATGAGGCACCGTCTCACTGTACAGCCGCAGTCTCACCGCAGACAGCAAATACGGTTCGCTGTGGTGGCCTACCGTAGGTTGTACAACAAGGTATCACACCCCCTGGAACGATTTTCAAAGCTCGATTACTAGGCTGAAAGGGCAGTGACGGTGCCGAAAATGGCGGTGTTGGAACCCTCCCGTCGAGAGCTTTCCGAAAACGTACTGCATCATTTGATATCGACATCCTCGTGCTCATGGAGTAATCCAGCTTTGGTCAAGGGGGTGTGGTATCTTATGCAACCTACGGTACATTACTGCTGTAGATGGCGCCTCGGCTGGTTGTGTCGTCCGCAACTCCTAGGGAGTCGTGATGACACACGCCGTCGTAGTGCGGTAGCCATGAGTGAACAGCAACGTTGACGCCCTGCTATGTAGCTACGCGTCCCTTTTGTAGCGGCGTGGCCAGTACTACCAAACACACCTCCATACAGTTATGCCCCATTTTCCGCCGCATAGCGAACACAAAACAAAAGCTAGTGTTGTGGTGAGTAGGTGCATTGACTGAATCATTGCGCTAGAGCACTACACTGAGCATTGCCACCCGTGCCTCGTACCTCGCCCGTGACAACCCCCAGCACTCGCGTTCGCCCTAGCTGAATCTCGGCGCTGGCCTGCCCCTCCGCGCGAGCGAACACCATACGCAACAGCCGCATGTCTCCGAGCTGCCTCCCGTCCGCCCGGCGCCCGCCCCGCAAGGATCGAAGGATGAAGTCGTGGTCATTCTTGCTCTGCCACGGCCCCTCGCGTATCGCCATGGTGCCGTTGTTGTTTGGTGGGAGCGGCTGCTGCAAGTGAGGCGCGGTCTTGGCTGTGGCTGGCTACAATATGATTTTGTCTGCGAACCATGTCGCCTCACAGACCAATGGAAACCCCGATACAGGCGGCAGCGCGGCAGCGGGCAGCCGACAGCCGCCTGTTGCCCGTCCGGCCTCCTGTCAGCTGCAACCTACCACCCACGCCCGTCTACACCACGCACGCGTTGTGTGCCATCTACCACAGCAGGAGGGCGTGATCAAGAAAGTTAACTGCGAATCTGTGTCGCTGTGAAGACACGAGATATTTAGAGCAGTAGTGTTTGCCTCTCCGCGCATGTTCTACGGAAGTACGAGTGCCGGTGAGACTGTAAACTCTGCTATACTGCTGTAGTCCATCGCCCCACCCACCCTCCGGAGTCCGGGGCCGACCCTCCCCACCGGGGTATAGATAGCTTCCCACCGGAGACACGGCGTTGCGAGTGACTGCCAGAGAGCGTATTGCACGGGGCAGCTGGAGGAGCCAAGGGTAGGTATTCGAAAATGGTGAGCGGCGATTCTGCTAGAAAGGGGAAGCGGCACAGGGCACCGGCACCGGCACCGGCAGGTGCGTTCCCCGAGGTGGCAGCGGCAGGCGCAGCAAGCAACGACGCCGAAGTCAACAGTAGCAGCCGGAAAAACAAGAAGAAGCGGAAAAGGGAGCAACGCCAGGCCCTGGAAGATGAAGGAGAGAGACAAGTCGATGCTGCCGCTGAGCCGCAGCGCGCAGCCGTAGACGCCAAGCGGAGCAAGAAGAAGAGACGGGAGCAGCAACAACACCAGCCGCTCATATGCACGTCTAAGGTCGCAGAGTACTCTGCTGGAACCAGCGATGACAAGGGCACCGCTGGCACACCGGTAAAAAGAGAGACCAAATCGAAGAAGAAGAAGAGAAGAGACAAAGGCTCGCTTCGCCACGACCAAGACCACGTTCCGCCATCAGCAGATGAAGAAACTTCGCCCGACAACGACAACGAGAGCCCGGTCCTAGAGGGCATCGTCCACGACGGCGCGATGTACCTCGTCGACGCGCGACGGAGAGTCTTCTCGGCCCAGCGGGACGAGCAAGGCGGCCTAGTGGAGGTGGGCACCTTCGACGACAAGGGCGGCAAGGTGATCATGATCGAAGAGGAGGGATCACCGCCATCTGACAGTCCCGCCAACAATAACGCCTCGCTCGCGGGGGCGGCGGCAGCGGCTGAAGCAGGGTTGATATCGTCGCCGCCATCGGCGTTACACCGCGACCCTGCTACAAAAACGGACGCGACCGAAGCCGGAAACGGCAAGGCGAAGAAGAAAAAGAAGCGAAAAAAGAAGAAGGGGACGGCGGCTGGTAGTAGCGAAGACGTTGCTGCTTCTGTCGGGGCAGAGGCAGAGAGCGTTGTGGTGGAGTACCCGTTTGAGGTCGAGGTGCGTCTATGCGGGAAACATGGAAATCACACGGAGCCGTGGGTTTGTGCTGGCCGAGCATGAGGAATCACTCGCCGTAAAACCAACCTGGATTCAAGCAAGGGGTCACATGATTCATTAACTGTTAATACACGCCCCACGTAGCTAGCACCATGTGTGTGTGTGTTCGTCTGATCTATTCTGGCGCCAGTCTACAGGCCTTTCGGCGTATATATCTGACGGATCAGCCGGGGTCACACAAGAGGAAGGTTACATGGTGTGCATAAATCGCAGGCAGGTTGGCCGCGAGGCGAGAGTGAAATGGCCATTCGCACAACACCCCCCCCTCCCTCAACTCACTCAGTCTCTCCAAAAACCCTGATTCCCGCCGCGCACACACAGGAGTGTGACCATTGCGAGACGAGCGAGCGGGCGTACTCCGACATTTCGCCGCTTCTCTCGGCGCTGGCCGCGGAACTGGGCAAGCCGCCGGAAGACCTTGTGATCTACGACCCTTACTATTGTCAGGGGTCCACCGTCGGGAGGCTGGCCTCGCTCGGCTTTCCTAGGGTGCATAACCGTAAGGAAGATTTCTACGAGGTGGGCTAACGGGCATGGGGAAGAAGGTGGTTCTACGCAGGATATGTGCTGGGCGATAGATAGATAGACAGACGTCACGAGAGAGCACGCTAGCGGCATCTAGGCGTGCGCACTACGAACAGTCGCTCGAAATTTTGTGGTTTTCGAAGAGACGAGGCTGGTCTTGCGTGGGGGGCGGGAGGGCTTTGCATGGTGCATACATATTGACGTGAAGCATCGCTTTTTTTCTTGCGGAGAGGACGCCCGCGTGCCCGTCATAACACACGTGGATGAGCCTGAGGTTTTTCTCTTCCATGAGTCTTATGGTCCGCACGTCTGTTTTGGTGTGCGTACGCTCTGTTCCGTCCAGGTGGTCAAGAACGGAAATATACCGCAGCACGACGTGGTTGTGACCAACCCGCCTTTCAGCGGAGAGCACATGCCCAAGATCCTCAAGTTCTGCGCTCGCCAGGGTGCGAAGCCCTGGTTCCTCCTCCTACCAAACTACGTCTATCTCAAGGTACAACCCCACTGTTGCTCGTCCTCCGAGACGCCAAGGACCCGACGAGGGAGGTTGCCCTCGGATCGGACCCGGTTTCACCACTTGGATGCCGTAGCTGAAAGCCCCGTACTCTCCTCTCTCTCTATTGTTCTGCTCGATTTATCGCACCGTTAGCGTCCGCCCACCCTCGTTTCGTGCGGCCTTGGCTGCTATCTTTGATTTCGTCAAGAAAAAACTCCTCAGATGATTGGACCTTCCGGGGGGTGTTGTTTCCCCCCCCCCCCTGT